CTGTGAAATCGAACCCAAGTCACCGCAGATGAAACCGCCAGTGGGATGTTACTTATTTATAAACACGTTTATTATTGGAATAGCTACTCACTTGCATTTATAACTACATACGAATCATACGATATAATGAAGGTCTTTGGGCCGTTGTTACAGGGTTGTATCAAACAAATTTTAAATAATCAATCATCGACATGTAGAATTTTGCACAAGTCACTATATTTGTAAAAGAGATAAATGGACTAGCGTCCTTTTCAGATGCAAGGTAGAAAAATATGATGCTAAAAAAATATATTCTGTTCCTAATATCCATGTATCAATATTAATACTTGCCACAAATACAGCGTGTCGTTACCATCGCGACTAACGCTACGAGCCAATAATCATAAAAAAATATTAACGTAAAACAAAATCCATAATTTAAAAAAAAAATCTATTCATGTGAATAGATTTTAAAAATCTATTCACTTAAAAAAATGTTTATCATGTAGTCTTTAATTAAGATATATATATATATAATATACAAAAAATAATGTCGAGAACTAAAAATGAACAAGTAGGGAAAATGTATCACTATTTAATGTAATTAAATTTGAATGGAAATTAAACCGTACTAACACTGCATATTCGACTAACTAATTTTCTCATGATATAAACTAAAGCATAATTTTAGCATTCTTTCTTAGAAAAGTGATAAATTGCATTCAATGCATGCTGATGTAAGCTCCCAAAAAGAAAGCAAATCATTTACTCTTACTGATATATAAGTGAAGTTTTATTTAGGTATTTCTCGCAACGGTAATTGACAGCTGAAAATATATTTCAGTCACTCGGAATTACACATATCCTGAGCGGATTGAAGAAACGGTTTGTATTCTAATGTTTAAGATAACTCGAAATAAATGACAGTAGGGTCATTGAAAAGACAATTTTTAGAATACGACTATAAGTGCTATTTTCATAACACCTAACATGTTGTTTCTTCACTATTTCTTGTCAAAACACATCCAAGTTTAATTGAGAATATGAAATTACATGAGTTCATCTACCTCAATGCTAAAGAGTCATAAGATTTAATTAAAAATATACAATTTTATAATGATTACTGTGCAACTTGATGATGTAATAAGAAGTTATACCCGGAATAAAATAATAACAATTTATTTGTTTTTCACTTCACATTGCAAAGCCATACTATTGCCTATACTCTAACCCAAAATATAGCCACTTCTAAGTTCTCAGTCCTATTCGTCACCGTTATTAATCCTTCATATCACATCTACCTCGATAAAATATTCAAATTCATTAAAACATCTGTTGTATTATATTCATGTATAAAAAATTACAAAATTACTTGAATACACAAAAATAGGAATTAAGCTCTCAAGTATATTAAGTTCTATTTATTATACAGAAATTTTTAAAAATACTGTCAAATATGATCAAAATAAATGCAAATAGTGTTTTCACAGATTTACGCGAATACTATATTATTCAATGAAACTACCTTACGTGTTTTATTTCGTTCCTAGTGCCAATATACGTATTGCGATTGTCTAAATTCAATGATCATTAGTATTCAGAATCTCCACTCACGACACGATGCCGAGCAACGAAACCGCACATAAAATCGAATCGCCCGACTAACGGGCGAAACAATTTCAATCAAAGCAATTTAGCACGAAACACATGGAAACCTCGCAAATGCTATTACTGAGGACATTGTATAATGAGGGGCAAACCTCCGAGAAACGCCTAATGAATTTTCGAATAACGTCACGTATGGCTACTTCTTTCGTCTCATACAGTCGACTGAAACAATTGAGGCCGCTGAAGCAAAGCGTTTATAAAATATCCAGAATAGGAATAAAATATGCCAAAGCCATAAATTCTCATGAAGAAACCCTACACTTCAAAAGTCAACATTTCTCTATTGTATTTACTTGTGTACAAAGTAGACCATTGTAACATTATTCAAAAATGTAAAGGTTAATTTTTGGAATTTTATCTTTATTACATTTTATTATAAGGTGCATGTTTATAAATCCGGTCAAATGTGGGCGATAAATATGTGCATATACAATAGGTATAAATAATATGCAATAACATATGAATATCCAATTTAAAATATTATTGAGAATCAACTTGATAAGTAAATAAATTAGATAGTTGCTAATTAACTGCTACTTGACGAGTCTGAGTGGATTTATTAATTTTGATTACTCTACTCTATTAAATAAAAGGCAAGGCGTAAAGTACTTTTGAAAATGTTGAAAAAAATAAATAATGAACCTGGAATGAATATTCAATTGAATATTTTTCCAAAGTGCAATAATCGCTACCTCTTTGCAAGCCGTAACGTTGTCGAAAAGACTTGGTTTCTGCTGTAGGACCTATTGATTGGTACCGTAAAGTAAAAAATGACTCAAACAAGATAATATGGAACAACGATAAAACAGCTTCCTAAGATTTGAATAACTTATGCAATTGTGTTAGGGTGTTTAACGATGGTAGAACAGTCTAGACTGTTGCACGAATAGGCAGGCTCGTCCGGGTACGTACCACGACCTCACAGTAGACAGGCGTAGTGGAAGTAATTATACTTTCGCGTTTCTTCTGGTGAGTAAGGTGGCCTGAGCCCAATTTTCAAAAGGTTGTCAACGCATCTGCAACCCTCGGATGAAGCAGATGTCCATGGGCGGCGGAATTTACTTACCATCAGGTGAACCGTCTGCTCGCTTGGCAACTTTTCCCATAAAAAAACTGTATGGGCAGAGTTCCATGACGATGACGGATGGAGTTTATGGACTTCGTAAGTTATACCGAAACTTTTCTTGTATAAATCTTCTTAGGCCTTACTAATTCAGCCCTGTAGTCGCGGGCTTATAGAATAGGGCTAAGGTATTCCCTGCCTGTCGTAAAAGGCGACTAAAAGGGAACTCGGATTGGCAGCAGCTCGAAGTGGTCTCAAGCTGCTGCAAGATGGTGAGGGAACCGGAGAAGCTATCCTTCTCCGGGGAGTGCTCACGCGCAGTACTGAGGGACACCGGTGCGTTCCGTGGGAGATCCCGGAGTCCCTCCAAACGTACAGAGGGTGGCCACCGAGGGGGTTTTAGTGGGTAAGAACCTCACATAACCCTGTCATGTAACGTGACAGGGTGGGTATCTTTGGAAGATTTCCCCCCGATACCAAAAAAAAAAGGCCTTACTAATTACACAGTTAATCCGGCCCATTCGTGCAGCATCAGAATGTACAGCCCGGATCCTGAACTAGACAAATTTAGACGTCAACCTCGGACAAAATACACCTAACATAATTATCAGGGAACAATATTCGACATTTCGTCGAGCTGTTAAAAGTTTTAGTATCGCCGACAACCAAATTGTTTTATATCCCACCCACAAATATAAACGTCAGAGACGCAAACTACTTAATAATAAAATGTGAATATTTGTTTTGGGTGTAGTCACGGAGACTGTTTATAATTTTAAGACAGCAGATTCGATTCCCAGCGTTTGTTTCATATGATATTGATTACGGAATTAATTCCGATATCTATCAATATCCACCATGTGCAAAAGCTAATGTAAGATGCTTTGCAAAATAGATTTCCGCGACTTATGAAGAAACTCTTTAATAACTTCACATCACTAGCGTTTCACTCTCAGTTAACGATTAATAGTTCGTATCCCAGGGAACGCACATTTCTCTTCCCTCTCTGTCTCTCAAAACATTATTTGATCTCTTTGGATCTTAACTAGACAAAAACAGGGAATTTAATCAACGTTTTGTCGAGGTTATTCAATCCCGATTTTTGAAAAATAGCAACTGGATAAGCAGTTCACGCGATGGTAAGCTATGACTACCACACACTGATCGCCCTCACTGGCGTTTATTAAATGAGGCGTGTTACCAACCGCTAAGAATGACCAAGCAAAGGAATTGCAAAGGTATGAATAACTTAAGGTGGTCTTCTTTTAGACAACGTTGCTACCCGAACCGATTGATGTGATTGTTTAACATGAGATGTTACGTATGTACTGTCATTGCTCCATCACCTTAAGTGCGACGCGGTGGGATTATTTACCGTACTACTGTTGTACGGTAACAATACGGTACGATATGGCATCTACGACTCTAATCGTGTCTACAGAAAAAAATAAGAAAAGCTTAGAATTCAGTAGATACGCTTCTGGCACCTTACAATGTGAAATCCGATATCCTGGAGAGAATGAACAACTTATCCAATTCTAAAATCCCATCGTCAACATAGAGTCTAGTAGATATTTTTAGGATACTATGGATACTTTCTCCAGACAATTTTTTGTCACTTAACGTTTGTTTTATGAAACCTTTTAAGAGAAACCACAAAGCATTAAAATTTTTATGGATTGGCACTGTGTGTTTTCATAAATTGTGTTGAGAATACGAGTAACGAGAAAATTATTACCTATGCGTGCAACGTGTCGCAACTTAAATCAAATGATTTTGCTGTCATGATCACTTTTGGTTATTAAGAGAACTCCGTCAAAAGTATTAAATTGTACGTCTTGTCTAATACAATATCATTAAACTTCTGTACTAAATTCATTCATGCGATGTCTATTTTAGATAAGAATACGGATGTAACAATTAAGCCGCGGTGCAATAAATTAAAACATAACTTACCAAGTTAGTATTTGATGGCCATTGTATTCAAATGACGATATAAAAGAAATATGGCTCTGCGACCTGTGATAAAATATCAATAACCCTCTCACAATGTTAAGATCAATTAAACCAGTAATAGCGTAATCATTTTTCCACGTTACACCTCACACGGCTCTGGGCACACGGGACCCGTGCCCAGAGCCGTGTCGTCACAGGGTATAGAAATTTTTCTCTATTTTTGGTAGATATGTTCCAGCAGAAGTTTATAGAATAAATAAAAAAAACATAAGATAATAGCAAAAAAATAATATTGTCATTTTTCCTTTGCATCGGGGCGCCAAAGTGTGCCCTAGGGCCATATCGGGCCTAAGACGGGATTGCTTATAGTGAAAACATTCATGACAACATGAATTTTATGCTAAAGCAAATACTTACATATAGCAGTTCTGGTGCGGACGTTCCTCGAGTAGCACATGGGATAGAGAATAGCCCAATACCGGTCCACAGACACCGCCACCAGACAGAATATACTAATCGTGCAGAGCATCACCAGCAGCGACACCGTAAACAGGCAAGCGTGTAGATTCCTTGGCAGACCAACTGAGGCCAAAATAGCGAACGGTATCCCCAACAGACCAACCAGTAAGTCTGCCACAGCAAGCGACACTATGTAATAGTTTGTGCGGCGTCGCAGTCTCCTATCTCGGCGGAACACGTGTATCACCATAGCGTTGCCAACCACCGCCACTAAGGCCACCAGAATCTCCAAGGACGTGTACGTCGCGTGCAGCTCTGGGGTCGGCGAGCGATGCGGAGCCGCGTCCGTCACCATCTCCGTAGTTCCTTCCATACCTTCCTATACGTGATCACGAACACCGCGTTTATATTTGAAGCACATTATCAAAAATAAACATCTATTCAACATTAGCCGCACAGCCATTATATTCATTCATTTGCTACATTAAAGTTTCGGCGCGTTCAAAGTTTTCGCAGCGACTCACATCGCTTGATGATCGAGAGATTTGTTTAACAGTGATAGGCTATTACGAAAATCGAATTGTAACAACACTCTTCGTTGAAGATTGTAAGTTTGTCGAAACACGATCAGTTTTGACCGCTGGCCGTGGAGCGATTCCAGTGTCCCGCTCGCGAGGCGCTCTTCCCGCCACTGCGGCCGCGAATTGGCGCGAAACCTCAGGCGGCGGGACGCACGCCCTACGCGGTCTACGCCGACGCGTGTAGCACTTGTTGCGACCGCGATGTGCCGCGCGCCCTTGAAGACGGAATTGACCGGCTCTATTAAACGTGTATATACAAATTGCAAGGCGTTCTAAGCGACGGATGCAACGACATCAAATATTCATATTCATCATATTTTACATTTAAGTACTACTACTATCTGTACTCAATGGCCAATATCCAATGCAATCAGCCTTTTGCATTCCACTGTTGGACATAGGCATCCCCAAGGGCACGCCACAGAGCACGATCTTCCGCTTTCCTCACGACGTCCGACCAGACACTACGTTTTCCGAGACGTAGTCTCCATGGCATCAATGACCAATATAATTATTTATAAACAAAATAGTATAACTTAAGATTAGTAGATATTACACCAAATCCAATTTAGCCTATCTACTTCCTAGCTTGATCAGTGGGCTAATTTCCAGGTATCAGGTAATCAGGGTACATAAAACAGTAGGTACTTACCTCACGTAAATTCTCCGAGCTGATTTTTAAGTATATTTTAGACAATATCGTTAAAAATAAGTCTTCAATACTTCCAGACATTTTCCATCGCGATCGTAATACTACTCTTATCATACACATTTCGTTCGTCAGAAAATACGTGACGTCTAGTGGCCCTGGGATCTTGCTGTAACAAATAAGTAATAACATTCAACAATAAACATTTCATCATCCCTTTCCATCGTCATGGTCCTGGTGTATGGCGTGACCGCTGGACCGCTGGTCTGTGCTGGAAAGGGTTCGAAACTTCGTGAATTAAAAATAAAAATTAAATCGCGCTAAAGTCCGTAAAATAGTTTCATATATGTATTATATTTGCATAAAAACAATGAATCATCATATATAGGTAGTAAGTAAAACAATTTATTTTATTAAATAAATTTTAAATACAGGGCGAGTAAAAGTATAGCTATATATAAAGCCTATACATGTCCCACTGCTGGGCAAAGGCCTCCTCTGTACAGAGGGTATCAGGGCATAGTCCACCACGCGATCCCACTGCGGGTTGACGGACACACATATTTTCGATGCAGGATGAAAATATGCAGGTTTCCTCACGATGTTTTCCTTCACCGCACAGCACGTAATAATTCGGCACTTAAAATTAACAATTTCATTGGTGCCGGCACCGGGGATCGAACTCAGGTTGCTCGAGTATATTGATTTAAAGGCGAGCGCCCGGACACTGAGCTATCACGGCTCACAGAGCGAGTGATGGACTACTTTTTAGGCAAGTTCCCATCAGTTCCAATATACTCCAGTCCTCTTTCTTGCCTAGGTCTAGGATTGATGATTTATTCGGTAATTTGTTGCGTCCTCCGCCACGGACGGCTGGGAGCGTTTTTTACATCAATTTTTGATATGGTAATCACTTTACAAAATGGCATCTCTGTTGAAGCCGACATTTTGATACCATCTTGCAGCAGATGAATATATCTTTTACCACCTGAAACTGAAATTTCTTCAGGTGCGTATCAGCATGGTATGACAAATACATGCAAGCGAAGGTGATTATAGGTGTGCAAACGTACCCAAAAATTCTTTAACAAATGCTTTAAAAACATTTTGCTCCATACCCTCACCTTGAAACAATTAATATGTACTTATATGATACTGTACTTATACAAAAAACGATCACGGCATTTAAAGTCAAAACCGACTTTTGTGATCCAAACATCATGTTGGTATTGAACATGACTTTAAATATTTTACGATATCTCAAGAATGCCTTTTGCAAAACTGTGTCCTTTAAAATGAGCTTTCGGCGTCATCTAAATAATTAACTTTAAAAAAGTTAATTATTTCATCACCTTTCGAGGGGTAATTTTTAGTTTAGGGTATGGCTTTGGTGCTGAACCAGGATTTAACCAACTTTTTTCGTCGCACGTCACCTTTCGGTTCGAAATTCCTTCATTTCTGTGACTGTTCAAAAAGCGCGAGGCTAAAGATTTATCTTGGCAATTTTTCCATGTCCCATAAAAGTGTCCCGACGACCACGAGGTTCATTTTTCAAGTCAAAATTTCCATAACGGAACCGGGCTAACCAATGGACAAAGCAAAACGGGTTGTGTGTTTGTTTGTAAAGTTCTCTCCATAAACTTTGTTGATGTTACTTGCCGTTGGTGCCGCGTTGGTGCCTCGTATTACATAATTACAAAAAATTTTAAGTATCAAATGAAATATCAATCAATCAAATATAATCAAAAGAAAATATTCAAATGTAAAGCTAATCAATAAACAAAAGACTGACTTTGTAAAAAGAATATCATGTATTTAAAAGAAAATTAATTTCAATTTAGAATTCACAGCCAATCAAAACTATTTTTCTGTCTCTACTTTACTACCCCGATGACACAATAATGCAGCAGCACAATGTTACACAAGTGATTTAAAAACAATCAACTTTTTTTAGGTTTAAATTAAAAATAACTCCTTACACATTTCTTGACTAAAATAAATGAATATATATAGGGTTTCTATTGTACAAGCCTTGGATATATTTTAAGAGTATATAATTTTCCTATGTTCAGCAGTGGGCTTAGATGATAAAGAGTAGATATTACTAGTGGTATCTTATCTCTTAGCATATTATTACATTTTTTTCATGTTAGAAGTTGACATGCAAGCTTGCGGTTAGCCTGATGTTGTCGGTAAAGGTTGATTGGTAAAGGATATTTGCAACACCAGTTTTTTTAAAAAAGTGAGCACAAACTACCTCACTCACCAGACGAAACGCAATAGTGTAACACTTCCACTTCATGCTGGTCTTCTGTGAGGTTGTGAAACTTTTCGAGTGAGCCTACCCATTTGTGCAACAGCGAAGACTGTGGCATGTTTCTACCACAGTTGACTTCACAAACATTTGTTTCTGTACTTTGTAAACTGGTGTTTTATTTAATAATATAGTTGCCTTCTATAAACTTCATCTTATAATTTTTGCCATTCAATTAGACTGGTATCAAAAGTTTGGCTTGCTAGGTATATATACTACCTACACCCTAAAGACATCACACAAGTTAATGAGGCGCATGTTCAATTTAATCCCAAGTGATTTCATATTCATCATTATCATTTCAGTCTGTAAGCATCCACTGCTGAACATAGGCCCCCTCTAGTGATTTTCACTTTGTTCTGTTTGAAGCGGCCTGCATCCAGCGAAGTCCTACTACAGTCAGAAAATTCTCGGTAACAAAGTGTTTCTTGCAGTATATGTGATTATTTAAAATATAAAACTATAATGAAAATGCATATTATTGCTATTATCAACAAAATACTTAGATTTATAATTCCTGAACTTTATTAATATACAACAGATCATACAAATGAATAATGCAGGTAATTTTTGCCAAACTACTTTTCCTCAGGATATTTTCTAGAATTTGTTTATGGAACCCTAATTAGTAAGCATATTTATCATAAAGTTAACAATTTACACTTTTCTGATGTCAAATCTGGATATTTACATTTATTAATACATTTAAGACACATTACACTTTTATGGTGTCTCATAAACCTTACATTATTACATAATTTATGTCAATGAAAGTATATACACCAAATTAATAAATAAATAATAATATTATGTAGATATAATTTAAAACTGCATTATTTTACTTCATGGTTGCAACCTGTCGACAAAGTGTACAGGTATTCCCATATTCAAAAGAGTTTTCCTTTCTACTTGCTCTAAATTGGGATGGAAGTTCAGCATAGCCTCCCAACATATCTCACTTAATTTTGGAATACAAATCCATACTTTGTATAAAGTATTATTTCGACAAGTTGCATCATCTTTTGGCTCAATACCACCAAAAATATACATGCAACCATAAGAAGTCACTGTAGACGAGTGAAAATAGAGGGGATGAGGCAGCACAGTCTTTTTCATTATGATCCATTGCATATCTTCAACACTTAATCTCCAAACATCTTCAAACATGGACTGTCCATCAGAACCACCCACCACAAACACTTGAACACCTCTAGGAGAATCAATTTGCACAGCACTGTGACACTTTCTAGGCAAAGGAGCTAATGTGTTTTTCAATGTATCATCCGCTTTTGGAGTTAAAACTGTCCATGTATTTGTGTCTAAGTCATAAACTGGTATTTCCATAAGTTCAAAAGCAAATTCTCCTGTTCCTCCACCAATAATGTAAAGCTTATTTCCAACTCGAGCTATTTCATGTCGATATCTGCCAATAGGTTCTCCTTCCTGACCAGTTCCAACAAAAACTGGTTCCCAAAACATTGTCTGTAGGTCTAACCTGGATGTTGAATAGAAGAAAACAATATAATATTTTAAATTAAAATCTTAATCAGGAATTAATTTAAACAGATACATATACAGCGTGTCGTTACCATCGCGACAATAAATGAACACATGTCTAACACCACTTGCCAATAATCATAAAAAAATATTAACGTTAAACAAATACCATAATTAAAAAAAACTAATTAAGTAAAAAAGAAACAAAATTTGTAACACCTATACAACTCGCGCCACAGCGTCGCTTTACAAGCCTCTCCTTCTAATAGTATGTTTTGTCTCTTTTAAATTCATTCAACCCATTCATATGCTTCGTAACCTTTACAAATGAATTACATTACAGTTTTACACCTAAGGGTGATCTAAAATTCTTAGTTTTGGAAAATTTTATAACTCTGTTAATATAGATGTTTAAAGAATGTAAATGTTTAATACAATTTTAAAAAGTTCATCCCCTATATGTGTGTTCATTTATTGTCGCGATTGTAAAGACATGCTGTATATATCTTCAATCCTATAGCAACATCTGGTACAGTAAAAAAACAAATGGATTAAATAGAATTTCTGTATAATCTTTTTGAAATTATTTTAATCTATTTTATTTTTTTGTGAAAAGTGGAAACCATCTCGATCTAAATTTCTTTGGTTAATGATCTTAGAATTTAAGTTATACTTAACATTGAATTTGATTTTCAACTCAAATATCAGTTAAAAATATGATCAGCCACTACAAACCTATATATATCACAGTTGTAAGCAAAACCATTTGTACCACCAATTGTGTAAAAGAAACCATTGTGGCATAATATGGACTGTCCATACTGTCCTGGTGGTCTAGTTCCAGATACTTCAAGAATTTGTAATTTTGCATCGCCAGGGGAAGTGCGCCATGTTATAACATCATTACTACATTTATTACCAAATGGCGCTCCGGTTCCACCAAATATCTGGTAAATCAAAATTGAAGTTTAATTTTTACTTAATTAAGACTTAGTAAGAATATGAAAATATTATGCATAGACAAACCATTAAAATTCTTCCATTCATACACATGGCATTTGATGCAAGTTCTTCAGGCATATTTTCTACAACTTTATGTTGTTTCCATTTCCTTGTAGCAATACAATAACTCCACAATTCTTTGAACAGAGGCCGTTGTGGGCTCCAAGTAGGATCTACCCTCTGAATACTATTGAGTGGTAAAACAGGATTATAGCCTCCGAAACAATAAATATTTACATCATCACATACTATCCTATGACCACTACGGGGCCTGGGGCATTCAGAACCCCGAAACTGAACTTCTGTAACCTTAAAAGGTTCAAAAATGTACTCCTCTCTTGATGAAAACATTATGTATTCTGACTTGATATAAGTTATATCAATTTTTATTACATTAACATTTTACTTACAAACTTTTGCATTAACTATAGTATGATTGTTAAGTTCAGAAAAGAAAAAAGGTAGCTAGGTAGGTATTTCAGAATCAGTTGTCAGTTTTGACAACAAGTCCTGTAAAGCATGGCTGGTGCCAGCAAGAGGGTAGAACTGTAAAAAAATTGTGAGACAATAAATGTCAGTGCTAGTGCTATGATAAATCAAATCTATCTATTAATATCTCCCATACAATGTCAGTAGAAATAGATAGATTTAATCTTGTAAATATTAGTTAAATATATAATTATAATGTGAGTTCAGTTCATATATCATTCGCCAAAAAAGGTTTGATTAAAAATCTTGCGTAAAACATGCATAGATAGCTAGATTTTTAGGAACCTTTTGAATGATTTGTATTTAATAAAAAAAACCAACCAAGTTGAGAAAACAATATGCACAAATAAACTTTAATACCAGTGAGGTTAGGTATTTAAAAAAAATAATTTTATATTTTTTGGAAATAAAAAATTAGTTAGCTTTTTTAATTATTATAAATTAAAATAGCGCACGATAATAATAGCAACTGAATAACCAATGATAATCGATAGAGAAAAATCAGTAGTGAATTATTAAAAAATGTAGAAAAAGTACGAAAAGATTGTCGCCGCTGTGGGAATCGAACCCGGCCGGAATCGAATTCGGCATTCGCGGCCTAATCGAAACGAAAATCTTAAAGCTATGTTTGGCGCATCCATTATTATATCCTTTCCAGCATACAAACAATTTCGAATATTGTTTTACAGCGATAATTCGAACGACCGACTGACGAAAATCTTAACGTCGTAACGGATATAACAATAAATGCGCCAAGCATTGCTTCAAATGATAAAACACGTTAAGATTTTAGTGGCAATCAGCCGTTTAGCTTTTCAGCCGCGAGCATAGACGTGGGTTGGAACAATTTTTCGACTTTTTCTAGCTCCACTCAGGAACCCCAACGCGAGGTAGTGGCTCCGCCTTTTTATGTTCACGTTAGGGGTAGGGAGTAGGGACTATGGACCACAAGACCACATGGAGTCGGGATGCTCTGTGTCGCATCTTGGTGATTTTTCTCTATAGTTCTCTATCGTATAATTTTGTTTGCTATATCGAAGTAGTTGCCTGCTAAAATTTTACCCCAATAAATCATGAAAATTAAAATCAAGGATTTACAAGTTTTCTCGAAAGTCTAAATTTGCGCATATCTTTTTAAAATGTTAACACACGACCTTGATTTTTATACTCTTCATAGAGACCTTAGACGTCAATATTTGGTATAAATTTCAACTTGCTAGCCCCACCCAGTCCTGGGAAAATACGTGGTGATTATTTACCAATTTTAATATGGTGGTATGGACGGAACCCTCGGCGCACGAGTTCGACTAGCACTTGACCGGTTTTTTTTAATTTAGCAACCGATCACTTTCTTCAATGGGGACATCTCTCGTTTGAATTATCGCTGTAAAACGATATTCGAAATTATTTGTATGTTGGAAAGGATATAACAATGGATGCGCCAAGCATTGCTTCAAATGCTAAAAAACAATGTAGATAAAAGACGTCAAGATTTTCATCGGTGTGGCCATCAGCCGATCAGCTTAGGTTGGGATGATCTTCGTCAACATTAAGCTGCTTTTGGTGAAATACGAGTGTTCCTTAGTCAAAGAAAATATAATTCGTAAAGGACTGTATTACATTTTTCGGTGTTCTATGGGATTATTAGAAGAAAGCGCTCATCACGTTCCTACTAATATACTAATATATTTAACTAAGTAAATAAAATTGAATGGATATTTATTACATGTTTATTTCAGAGTTTTGTCAATACAATGGTTTAAGAACTTTAAAGTTCAATGTTTAAACACAGTAATATAATATTACCATCACCTAGGATTACAACGCAAATAAACTATAAATTTTTTATAGATTATATATTTTTAAAATTAATCAGGGCTTCACATACAAGTATATATATTTCTATTCATTTATAAAAGCGTAACGTAAAGTTCATTTGTAAAGGTCACAAAGCATATGAATGGGTTGAATGAATTTAAAAGAGACAAAACATACTGTTAGAAGGAGAGGCTTGTAATACGACTCTGTGGCGCGAGTTGTATAGGATGTTACAAATTTTGTTTCTTTTTTACTTAATTAGTATGTTTGAAAAATATTTTTTTTTAATTATGGATTTTGTTTAACGTTAATATTTTTTTCTGATTATTGGCAAGTAGCGTTAGACGTGTGCTCATTTATTGTCGCGATGGTAACGACACGCTGTATAAGTTATTAAAACAAACTTTCATAATTCGAAAAAGCTCTTAGTGGGTAGCAGGAGCGGGAAAGAACGTTGGTACCGACGAGGTCGAGACAAGGTGCAAGGCGGCGCGACAGTTGATAAACAATTTGATTCGGTCCTCATTTCTCTATGACGCTTGTCCAAAGAAAGCAATACTAGCGTGACAATCCCAATTAAAGGGCTAGGAATAAAAGCAATAAGTTTATTGTAATAAACAAATTGCATAATATTCTAATATTTTTGAAACCATTTTGACAACAGAAAAACAGACTGAGAGTTTCTGTTGTTAAAATGGTTTTGTTGCAAGTGAAGTAAACAGAGCCTACCTACACCTTAAAGGTTGACTACAACCTCATGGGTGTTTAAATAAATGTCCATGTCGGACTTACCATCAAATGTGGGTCATCAACTAAAAACAATGCAATACCATACAACAATTACCTTCGCAAAGGACAGTCCAGAGGAAGATGTGCTTGGAGTTGGGCTTGCTTGTTCAACAGTTCCAACTGAACTAGGTGGTGAATCAACAACGTCCATGGTGGAAAATGAAGCAGTCTCCATAGGCGTGGGGCTGCTAAAGGACGTCGAGGCACGCGGAAATTGCACTTCCGAGAAAAAGTCCGGACGTGGCGGGACCTCTAATGCCTGCCGACACTGCAACTCACGACGCCTCTCCCTGCGCTCAAGATTTGCACGCAATCGAGCGCGTCGCCTTAACTCATCTATTAAAATGAAAAAATAACTGTATTAAAAATGATATATCTTACAGATGAGTTTGGTTTTTGAAACAAATATTCAGTGTTGTCAACTGTATTTTTTATTTTTAAAATTGACATTGTTAGTGTCTGTTGTTTTACCAGTTATACAAAATTTTCTTCATTTACTCAATTTATTTAAGATACATTACTTAAATTAAAATAATTGAATATTAAAAAACTTTTCAACTAACCTGAAAAAGTTTGCAGTGCTACTGTTGTCACAAATGGTGGTTGCAAGTCCAACTCCACAATATCAAAGGAGCAGTATACTGGTAAATGAGCAGTATATGGCATGTGTTTTTTTGTCTAAAATCCAATAAAAAGATTACTACAAAAATAAATATTAATTAAATGCTGTAATTCAATTGACTATTCATTCAGATATTAAGTTATGAATATTCCTATATTAGTATCCACCTGATCTCCAAGTGATAATGTCTCCCGATGCAAAACTCGACCTCGAATAATGGGTGGACAAGCAACAAGACCACCCCATGATGCATTCAAAACACGTACATTGAAACTGTTAAGGAAGATTTGTTGGCCATCATCGGCTGCAAATAAATTTCTCAATTCATCAAATATAATAAAATATTTGCAGGTACATAACAATTTTATTGCATATTAAATTCATATACATATTTTGAAAAATGTTTGTAAATAAATAATATATCAAGTGAGATTTTACCTTGATAAAAGTAAAAGTATTTTGACTGATTTTCTTTATCAATATCTGTAATGAAATTGTCATTATCTACTGCTCTATCCTCCAAAGGATCACATTGTATGAGAGGAAATTCTTCTATTTCATTGTTATCATTCAATTCATCTTGTAAATAAGTTGTTACTTCCGAACTTAATTCAGGTTCAGCAATATCAACATTTAAAGAAGCCATATTCTCCGTGATAACTTCAACACAAGCTGCACCATCTTCTGTTACATCAAACCAGTCCATTTTTTTATCATTAACTTCTTGTTTTTCGTTAACAATTGGAACCATATCTTCATTTGGTTCTGGAGATTTAGTAGGTATTCTTATTTGGCTCTTAATATTTTCTTCTTTTAATTTCAATAATTCCAATGCTTGCTCTAAATAAAATATTTCTGTTGTATCAATCTCTGCTAATATCTGATTGTTTATTTCATCACGTTCCTTTTCAATTATTTTAAAGACCTAAAACATATACACATTATATATATATATACATATTTAGTTAGGATTGCCATATAAATTGTAAAAATCATAAAGATTAGGGGTATCCCTCTAATATTTGCAATGAGCATTGTACCTCATATACAGGTCTTAATTTAAACAGGAACAACTATGTCAATTATTTTACCTGCTCTTTAGAAGCTATAAAATATCTTGTATAAGGTGCACAGTTAAGGTTCTCAAGTGGCAGTATTGGCGATGCCAAGGTATTTGTTATTGTTCCACGGGGAGGTGCAATTTCAACAGTTGTAGTACCTCTGAGTCGGCGAACAAGACGCATTGTCACCTTCAAACAAAACATTATTGTAATAAAGGGCTGTGTACAAGACATAAGAATAAGTGTTATTATGATTTGACTTCACATCATTACAACTTAATTTTCAAGGCACTTGTAAACTAGATCGTATGTAATCTTATAAAACTGACAATTTATTTTGTAAATATTTAACAAAGATGTTTTAATAGCAAATATACATAAAATGTGTAAGTTACCTCTTCAGTGGGTGATTCCCATTGTATCATGTAAGCAGGTTTCATTTCATCTACTTGCATAGGAGCTGCACACACAGGGCAAGGTGGTAGTTGCTTTTCATGGGCTGCTACATAATGCAGAACACATGCCCAGCAATATACATGTCCACAGTGACCAACACGCCCAGCTACTGGATTACCAAGGCATATAGGACATTCTGATCGACCAGTGCTTCGTACTACCTGATGATTGAAATAAAAAATGAAAAAACAATCATGATTGAAAGAATTATGTTCTTTTATTAACATTTCATTTTATTTGGTAACACAGTTTCTATATTGCAATTAAAAAAATAATTAAATAATAACGAAAATATAACTTATGAATTAATCAATGTAGAGTTCTCTGGTTGATTACTGTTTTTGAGAAAGAAACATAGTTATAACGTGTTATTTTTCCGAATTTTATTTTACAAAACAATTTTTTTTGTTAAGTTGAAAAAGACCATTCCTAATGGAAAAAACTTACAAAAAATTATATGAAATTTAATGTCATTACATAAAGAAGCATATTTTATTTATTAAAGTTCATTAACTCACAACTTCCTCAATCTGCTCCCATTTAATAGGCACATCTGGATCCATCACATTCATTTTATAGTCAGAATCTTCTTTGACCACAAATTGACAACTAAAATCAAAAATATTAAATTTAAATATACTTCTCTCAAATTACAGCCACTATCTATTCCCAAAATTCCAAATTACACAAAACAAACACTGTCTATTCATTGGAATCTAAAAGAGGCTGAAAGTTTTTTAAATTATTGTTTAAAAAGACAGAATAATGGTGTTGAAAAATGTTCATTCAAATCTTATTTATTAATCATTGATCCAAGATTTTGTTATCAGTGAAGATAGCATAACATTCTTTTGGCATAAAAAATTGACAACACGGGTAAATAATGAATAGATCTTAGTTTTTAAGTTTTACAACAATAACCTTAAATATTCTTTCACAAATTAATACTTACTTCGCACGTAGATAGAGATCATGCTGATGTTTATGTGCCAGATTTTGAACCTGTCGACGAGGTGCAGGACCTCTGCGGTCCCCACCACCCCGTGAGGGATACATGAAGTTAAGCAAATGGTTCAAGTTTTGCTTTTTGCTTCCAGGCAGATAAACAGAGCCTATTTCAGGCTCTTCATCTTCCCCTATCCTACAAATACAATGAAATTATCGATATAATACTTTCTATGAAAATTTTTAATAATTCCGGAAATATCAAAGATGTAAATAGTCTTCATGATAAAGAATGTGGTAACGTTACCCGGCGTTCTGCGTTCCACCCACATCGAAAGTAGGTCCACGAGTGCGAGTTCGTTTGTCAATTTGACCCCGACCCTTTTGTGGTGGGAGATTGCGTCGAAAAGGTTCATTTTTAGGAGCAGCACCAGATCCTTCACGTTTTTTATTATTCCGTGGCCAATGTTTATGTGTCAAATCTATATAATGTAGTCGAATATTTCAAATAAAATCACAAAATGTCAGTATACACAAATAGTAAAAACATCAAGCAATTTATGTAAGAGAATCAGAGCAAAAAAACAACAATGAATTCTAATATGACCTTCAACACGTACCAGTATTTTTTTTACAATCGGAAGCCGAGGCTCTCGACTGTGGTAGAGGAATTCTGTTCAATGATTTTTTGTCCATTCTGGATTCTTCTAACATCCAAATATTCTGCTGAGCGGGATACTCCGCAAGGAGACGAAAACTTTACGTTCAGGGCCGACATTTTAGAAAGCCATGTTTATAATACAAAACTAAGAGAAAAATATTTTCCTCGATGTAACCAATTTACCTAGCGGTAAATACACAAATTTAACTCTTTAAACGCAAAAAAGGGAGTATATTCTACTCCCTTTCGCCGATGACGACGAATATTATGACAAAAACAAAATTCCTTATTTCGCCACCAATATGGCGACCTGTAGGTCTAGCCGGCGACCAGCCAGATTAGATAAATTGCGCACTTCCTCTATAGGTAACCATAAAGATATATCCGTCGCAAAATATTAAATTTAAAACATACCTATCAATTAACGATTTTCTTTATTTAATATTCATAAATTTAACATGTGGCTTGCACTTAATTTATTATTGTTTCTTGACATTTAAATCGGTAAATGTAAGTAAACGTATAAAACTTCATTAATTTTCTAAAATTTAAAAAATATTAAAAATTCAATGCAATAATGGGCTACTCATATCATATAAACTTAAAACAAAAACTTTGATAAAAACATTTAAAATTTAGATGTCAGCAGAGTCGTTAATTAGTTTTCTAACTACTCTTTCATAATATAATTTTTGCACAATTAGCAATGTTTATTTAAATACACTGTGTAATAAGTTTAAATAAAATTTAATTATTATAACAAACTTACAACCTGGCTGGTAAAACAACCAGGAATAGAAAAACTAAATTTTGGCGCGAAAAACATTTATTTCTTTTGTAATTTCATATTCAACATGATGGACAAAGCAACATTACCGTTTGAAACAGCTATTATACCCATTGAAGAAGCTCGACAGTGTTTGGTAAATAGCAAATTTTTATATCTCTTAACAGTTATAAAAACGTTCTAGTAAAGTCTACTTTAAGTTCTTATGCCAAACGATTTTTCATGTTATGAATTATAATGCCCACCACACCACAATAATGACAAAACAACCAATTTTTCACCTACATATCGAATTCTTAATGTCAAAAATCAAATTTAATTTTTATTTTTGTACCCTTGTCCATCATGATAATATAAAAAGTGAGAGGTGTAGTAACTTACTTTTCTCAATTTCAACAGATACTGAACGCGAAGGATTCCGTTCGTAATAACACAAAATATGTCCGAAAAGCTTCTAATACATTTAAGAAAAAAGATAGCAGGTAAATACTTGATTATAAATTAATCTGTCTAATTCTAGGAGTTATTTCGAAAGGTTATTTCGTTTCATTAAAGTAATTTCGACTAGTATCCTTGTCTTCATAACTTGAAATAATCAAATGTAAATATTAATATTGAATGGTTTATTATATAGCGTATATTGTATAGCGCTAATTAGTTGTTTATCTAATGAAAGAAATAAATACGTTTTTAAAAAAAATATTTTAAGAAAATTAGCTCTTGTGTTTTTCTTATCACAAAACACGTCACTATCCGCCAGGTAAGGGGTGAAAATTACCTAACAGTTACTTTGCGCTCCAGGAACCCAAAAACCAAACCCCTTTGGTATTCGAACCTAGGACTTGTGAAATTAATGTCGGATTGCATACCAGAATATTATCCTCAGTAGAATATATTAATGGATACAATCCTATTCCAGGGCCGGTTCTTTTTTTTAAAATTTTTATATGAGTGTATATTACATTAGAGTATGGTGAATCCTTAAACCATGTGACAATTTCAAGTCGTCGAAATACCGACTCAAATTATCTTCTGTAAATGAAAATACTACTTATTTGATCATAAACAATCACTCATTTATTCAAAAATAAATTAAACGTTTTTACTTCTTTATTGTTTTGCTTATAAGATATAAATTTATATTCTTCTTCATTTTAGTCACCTAAATCACCACTTTTAAATTTATTAATCAATGAATGCACAATATTCAATATACATTAATTAATACCTAATCGTCTCCGTGTCCGTGAATAAAGCCTACGCTATCTACAAAATTTACTTATTATAAATATAAGCGTGGTATAAGCTAGAATACTACAAAAGTTCTTACAACACATAATAATGTCTTAGAATTAGCCTACATTAAGGGCAATGTTTTTTTTTTAAACTGGCACGGCCACACAAAAGTCTTCGCTGTTGCAAGAATGGACAGGTCCGTCCGGGTAAGTAGACTAAGACCTCACAGAAGATCGGCGTGAATTCCGTCAACGGGCGACGGATATCACTTAACTTCAGAAGAACTGCCACCTCGCTTGCCACCTTCTCACATAAAAACAAGAAAATTATACTTTCGATACAATCGCGGGGGGGGGGAAATAAGCTCAACAAGCTACACTTTGTCGTAGCGCGTTCGATCTCAGCCAGCCTTGCGGATTGACGCACCGCGAGCGTCTCGTCTGGCTGCAGAAGCGCCGCACCTCAGGCCTTTGGGCCCAGTGCGACAGCTGCAACCGCTGGCGTTACCTGCCCCAAGTCGTCGACCGCTACGAGCTACCATTGAAATGGCACTGCAGAATGAACCCAGGTCGAACTAAATACCGTAGCCTTAACCATAAATACTCACCATAATAAAACCAGCCTTACTCCTGAAATACCTATTAGATGTGGAGCTAAAATTAACAAATGTTCATTTCTCGATACGCCGCTTTCAACCATGTCATTACCTTTTAGACACGAATTTAGCTGATTGCTCCAGTCCAGAAGTTCCCATAGATTTGCGCGACGAAGAAGATTTAATACATAGTAGGTTTACCGCCGGTTCCATTGTTTGGGCAAGGCTACCCGGCTGGCCGTGGTGGCCCGCTATGGTGGACGACTGTCCCGACACCGAACAGTTCTACTGGCTCGACGGGTTCACCGACATACCAGTAAGTTTAATTGATCTATTGATAACTGTATAGCGTTACACTCGATAACAGATTAGGGCCAATTTCACCGTACACTGTCGATTGCATGTACTCTCAAATTTTACTACGGACGGTTAAGATATAATGTATGTAAGGTACGTATTATTATCTTACTTCTATAAATTTTAATGTTAATCAGCCGTTAACTTAAATCGCTCCTGTACAGTACGAATACAGAAGACGGTCAAAGTTTTTTTTTCTAACATAAATAATAATAAATAATAAGAGACGATTTAATAATGAATTTCGCGAATATATAACGGACGGTCTCCCTTGTTATTTTCCTTTGATTTTTCGATTTTGTGTTTTAATTTTTTACTTAATTAGTTTCTGACCTTACAGACTTATTACAACGTAACGTTTTTCGACAAAAAAGACGTTACACGTGCCTGGATTGCCGACGAGAAAATAAAGCCTTACAGCATAAATAAGAAATTATATGATCGAGCTTTAAAAATTAAAAAATACGCAAAGCGACTAGCAGCTGCTGTAAAACAAGCTGAGGATGCTTTTAAATTGCCTCTCTCTTCGCGTCTCGAAAAATATAGCTTTATAACGAGGTACAAAGGCAGCATTGCAAGTCCGACGAAATTTTCCAAAGCTGATATTGAAAAGTATCGTAAACGTCTTAAGCGAAAGTTTATCGTAGAGTTTCCTTCAGATAGTTCTGATACAGAAACACACTCACCTACAAAAGTCGGTGCGAAAATTCATGATGAAATATATTCTGGCACGCCTAAAAAAGTTAAACCAAAAGGAATCAAACCGAAACAATTGTTAAAGAATGAAAATAACGTAAATTTTACAAATAATTCATCCAATGATACATCTGTTCGGGATAAATCGTTCAAAGCGGCAATGAATGCTGTACCAGTCAAAGGTAAAATGGCTTTTATTCATTTTTAATTTCCTTAAAAATTGCTTTGTATAATATATTTCCTTGTACATTATGTAAATATTAAAATAAAAATTATAAAAGGGACATGATAACGTTGGTCGATTGCAAAGCGCCAAACTTCGCGGTATTATCATGACAACCAATAGCAACTGACATTTACCTATAACTAAAAGTTATTTAATGAAACTGTTATCAATTGCATCAAATATCTTTTTCACAAACAAAGAGTCCTGCCATAGTGCATAGAATTTTTAGTTACTTTTCTTTTGATAAGCTAAAGAAGTATAACTTCTGTGGTGCTTATATAAGTACACACATACTTTTTTCTATGAATATTTGCCAAGCAAGTAGCCAGTTCAACTGATATCGGCTACCTCCCTCACTAGACGAAACGGCAAAGTTTAATATACTATAATGTACTATACTTCTCCACTTCACGCCGGTCTCCTGTGAGGCCGTGGTACTTCCTCGGACGCGCCTGCCCATTCGGGCAACAGCAAAAGCACCCGGGTTCCTGGGCGGTTCTCATCGCTCCCAGCCACGTTTAGCAAAACAGACGACAGTCGACAATCCCATCACATTTCCAATATACAGCACAACTTCGACCTTCATGTGAATTAAGACTCTCTTAAGAAGCTCGAAGTTTTTCGGTGTTTAATATGTATGAATTAAAAGTTAATATAATAATACTAATGAAAATTTGTATTATGCTTTATACAGATTTATCTAACAGAGACCTGTCTGAATCATTACATTCTAAAATAGTGGAAAGAAATGATTCCAAAGCCGCTTCTACTGCCAGCGATGATTTCGACTTTTAAAACGATTTTGTTTGTTTTCTTTCATTTTCCTCTATTGTAACTATCCCGATTATAGTGTTATAAGGATATAAATATATGACATAGAAGTAAAAATGGTGGTTTTTAATTTAAAAAGAAAATTGGCCATCACAGGACGCCCGGCAGATGAGAATCATTCAGGTTAATGTAAGAACTAAAAATTCATAAAAAATAGTAGTCACTACCTAATATAAAAAAAGTCGTACCGCTGTCTGTCTGTCCCCATGTATGCTTAGATGTTTAAAACTACGCAACGGATTTTGATGCGGTTTTTTTAATCGAAGCCGGGGCGGGTAGAAAAATGAAGAGTAGAATTTCGTTAATGAAATAAATATGTTTTTCTTATTAATTTTTTTATTACTTCAAATACAATAATATTCGATCTCAAGGAAGAAAATACAATAAGAGCAGCAAACGTGTTAAGTATAATAATGTCTGATAAAACATTACGTAGCTTATACAGAGAAGCTAAACAGCATGATTCACTTGCCGACCACACCTACGTGCAACTAGGGCGGAAGGATGATCATGATGATGATTCTATATTACAGTCACCTTAATTATGGATTAAAAAAAGGTAAACTGAATTCTTTCACAATCATCCAGGGCCGTGGAGATAAATTGTGGCAGATACAATAAGATTCAATTATTTATATTCATACATTGTCAATATATACATACACCTACACAAGATATAGTATTGATAAAAATATTAAGCGAACTACCGTTCGCCATTATCTTACCTTGGATGTTACCACATCTAACATTATGATTCCTATAAATATATATTTTTCATAGTCAAATATTGAATGAGATCCTGTTATGTTATGCCCTACGCTACATATGTTTACAGACAAAAAGTTGTAGTACAGCTTAAACAGTGAAAGATACCGAAGAAACTAATTTAACAAGAAGGAATAATATAACATTTAGGTTAAATTAATGGAGATCTGTGAAATACAATATCTGTGAAAATTTCAACTCTATCACGGTTCGTGAGACACAGCTTGATGACAAACGGTCAGACAGCGGAGTCATATTAATAATCCTAAAACATAAGTTCAACTGGCGGGTCCCGTGCGGATAGGCATACTTCACTTATCTGCATAATTTTGAAGTTACACTTTTTGGAGCGTTTGGAAAAAAATATGAGCATAAAATTTTTACATATGTTGAAGTTGGTTACAAAGCGACCAACTTCGACTACCTTCACGAAATTACTATGGCAACTAATAAGAACTTTTTGACATTTACCTTTAATTACAAATCATTTAATTCAACTGCCTAGAATGTCTTTCTCACAAACAAGGAGTAATGGCACAGCGGATTTTTCGAATCGAATTTCATTAGATTTTTTTTATGTAAGCTTAACTTCTTACGTGCGTACAAAGTACACACACTTTTTTTTAAATATTCTTTCTGCTTTTTATTATATTTTTTCTTATATAATATGCTCTTCATGGCGTTCTCTGTTACTGGCGAAAAATGGTATATTAGCACTTAAAATTGCAATTACCAATTAGATTGCATTTGGACTCGGGTACCTCTAGTATAATCTATATTAAACTTCAACAATACTAAACCAACCAATGTTAATTGTTATTATTGATCGAACACTGAACTAACGGTGAGCGGACAGATATTTAGCTATGACCACTAGATTTAATGGCCTCTTTTTGGAAACAAGAACAAACGAAGAGAAAAGAGAAATTTCCGCTTGCGCGTAAATAGATAAATTAAAATTAAAATGATAAAACTCAAAATTACATAAAAATTAATACGTTCCGTGATCACTATAATTTATCGTTCATTCCGTGTATTATCGTATTATATCGATATCGATAGCTATCCATATTTTCAGTGGTTTTAATTTGAGTTATATGTATTAAGTATTTATGTTGTGTAAGAAAAAAAACGAAAGAAGAAACCTTAACCCCACTTAAGACCTCATAGTACAATAGGTACTATTTTTATTTTATTAATCTCCATTGGTATTATGTTGTGCTCCCATGAGAAAAAGTTGGCAACATTACTGAAATCTGCCGTGCTTGAGTCGTGTACGAGTGCAAAAAAATTATATTTTACTGTATTCCTAAGCAAATTCCTGGCATATAGTTTTAAGTTTCCTACAAAAGGCTACCGTTTAGAACCGATAAAAACACAGCTTTAGCTGTGACATAATATACAATGGCGACAATTTCATTTGCTAAAAGTTTGGTTAACCCAGGTATTATAATTTTCTATTTCCATTTAAAGTTACTATAACAATCATGTTACACGCCATTAATTTATTAATATAAAATGTCAAAAATATTTATTAGATTTAATATTTTTATTTAAGCATTTTGGTTGTTTATGTATTATGTAAAAGATTATCTCAAATTATCGATCTCGATTAACCCATTATCAAGAGGTTCTAATTTTAATCTTGTGTATATCGACTATATACTCTAAATATAACAATACTTATTATTTATGATATAAAATAAAATCATGATAGATTATGTACACAACATAACATAAAAAACCAGGTCTAAAATCGAATATTTTTTACTTCCTCCATTTTTATTTAGTCTGGTACAACCAAGACACAAACACTTTTCTAGTTATATTATAAAACTAAAAGTATATATAAATTGACTTACATAAAAATGTTATTATTAATTATTCCATTACAGCTTTAAAATTAGTTCTTAAACAGAACCAATGTTCACACTTGCTAAATGCATCGGGCCTACCAGTATTGACACCATTAAGTTTAGTGCTCCGAAGAAATTATGCAGAGAAACAAATTTTTGAGAGAACCAAACCACATTGTAACGTTGGTACAATTGGTCATGTCGATCATGGAAAAACTACTCTTACTGCTGCCATAACCAAAGGTAAGAATGAAAATAATTAAGTTTCAGTAAAATATATAACATTTGGAATATTTAACTCCAAATTTAGTGGTCAGGTCCATTAGATATATGTATAAAGGCAAATAAAGAAACAGCCTATATAATTATGTGCCATTGCTGGGCAAAGGCCTGTGTACATAGGATATTTGGTATATAGTCCACCATGCATACCCTACTGCTGATTGGGGGACTTCACATATCTTTGAAATATTTTTTTTGTTATTATTTCGGAAATATGCAAGTTTCCTCACAATGTTTTCTTTTACCTCTCAGAATGTGATAAATCAGTACTTAAACTTAACAATTTTGTTCGAGCCAGGCTCAAGTATATTGAATTAAAAGAGAGTGCCCAGACAATGAGCTATCACAACTATAGGTAAATCTTGTACATTAAACTTAAGACTATACAAAGCTTCATCAGACAGAGTTCTTGGAAAACATATATTCCTACAAGCTTAATACACCATATCTAAGCAGTGTCATGCATGATGACATGTTTGTTTTAATAAAAGTGATGGTATTGTTGTTTAAGTCTTTCAAGGTCTAATATTCTGAATGTGTGTGCCTGGCAAATGAGATTTGTTGGGGTCTTTGCTAATGTTTACCATTTCTGTGTATTGTTTTCTGGGGGCAGTTGTATATCTTACATGTGTATAATTGATTTCTTTTTTATTAAAGTCATTATTTATTATTATTTCAGTATTATCAGACCTTAATTTAGCACAAAAGAAAGGTTATACAGACATTGATAACGCCCCTGAGGAGAAGGCTCGGGGGATAACTATTAATGTTGCTCATGTTGAATATCAGACAGAACAAAGACATTATGGTCATACAGATTGCCCTGGTCATGCAGATTATATTAAGGTATGTGAAAGGTTTATAGAAAACAGTTAATAGGATTGATTGATTAGGTCATAGCTTAGATAGATTGATTAAGATCATCGCTTAGTATTCTTTAAATGGAGTTTTCGGAGTTACGCAACCAAACAGCGACATTTTCACTTTGTGCATCATAGGCACATTACACTAACATACATATTTACATTTCATGCCTAATTTAAGGCAGTATGCGCTTCGCCACCAACCAATACCATTTTTTGTACTGCATATTCTTTATACCATTTACCATACCAATATATATAAGTGTTAGTTTACCATATGTGTTAATAAACCATTTAACAGACTTTACAAACTCTCTCCCTTCTTCAGGAGTTTTCTACATTTTCTATACTTAACTATATGTATACTCTCTATAACAACTCTGTAGTGTGATATCACTGGTTACAAAGTGGTGTTCATCATTAGAGCACCTGTTGGAAATGATTGGATGCAAACAAACCATCAGCCAGTGTTGGTACTGTTCTAGGTGGCTCTAATGTATTCTAAACAAAGACTAGCTCACCCTTTAGGGATTTCAAAACTGCTTTTGGACCAATTACAACATTTTCATAAAATTACAAAATTTTAATAAAAGGATTTTTTACTGATTAAAGAAGCTTAGGCTTTTAATAGTTTACCCTGAAATTTATTATCACCTCCAAACCAAAAATCCTGAGATTATTCCCATGCCAAGTTGTTTTATATTCAATTGTTACTTGAAAAGAGATTTTGTATATCTGGTAAATATTGTGAAAAATTTACAAAATAAATATTTTAATAAAGTCATTTAACAAGTTAACATCAAATAATAGATAACAATATGACATTTTCAGAACATGATAACAGGTACAGCTCAGATGGATGGTGCAATTTTAGTTGTAGCCGCTACTGATGGTGTAATGCCACAAACTCGTGAGCATTTATTACTTGCCAAACAGATTGGTATCCAACATGTTGTAGTCTTTATTAATAAAGTGGATGCTGCTGATGAGGAGATGGTAGAACTTGTAGAGATGGAAATTCGTGAACTAATGACTGAAATGGGCTATGATGGTGATAAGGTACCTGTTATTAAAGGTAAAAGTTGTTTTAATACATGAAAGTTACCTAATAACATGAAAAAAAAACGAGTAAATTTTTATATAAACTAAGGTAAAGTTAGAAAACTGTTACATATTTACCACATGTTTACACAAGAGATGATACAATTTATTGTAATGTCATCATTAAGTTTTTTTGTTTAATTTTTCATATTGAACTTCTTTTGACCACCTCAAGGTTGATTGTTATAAAGTGTTTATGGCATTAAGCACACCTTTGTATATATTAGTTGTGCATAAAGAATAAATAAATAAATATAGAAATGAAACCTTAAAAAGACTTAAGTTAGAAGTTTATAAGACAACCAGCATAGATTTATGTCATATGCAGTTATTATAGTTACAATCAATTTAAACTTAATTACTAAAAAATAAGCAATTATTTCAGGGTCAGCTTTATGTGCCTTAGAAGGAAAAAGTCCTGAAATTGGAGCAGACGCTATTACTCAACTTCTGAAAGAAGTAGATTCCTTTATACCTACACCAATACGTGAGCTGGACAAACCTTTCCTATTACCTGTTGAGTCGGTGCATTCAATACCTGGACGTGGCACTGTTGTTACTGGAAGGCTACATAGAGGTAATAATAGACAAATAATTTGGAAAAATTCAAAGCTACAAAGAGAATCTTATTTTAAATGCACTTGGTTTCAGGTATTTTAAAAAAAGGCACAGAATGCGAAATTGTGGGTCATGGTAAAGTCATGAAAACAACTGTTACTGGGGTTGAAATGTTTCATAAAACACTGGAAGAGGCTCAAGCTGGAGACCAATTGGGAGCTCTTGTACGTTCAATCAAGAGAGAGCAGATCAAACGTGGAATGGTAATGGCCAAGCCTGGCACTGTCAAGGCTCATGATAACTTAGAAGCTGCTGTATATATACTAAGCAAGGAGGAGGGTGGTCGCTCAAAACCTTTCACATCCTTTATACAACTTCAAATGTTCTCCATGACTTGGGACTGTGCAACCCAAGTTAACATTCCAGAGAAACAGATGGTGATGCCTGGTGAAGATGCTATGTAAGTTTACTACTGTGTTAGAATAATCTATCTATATGTATTAATAAACTTGTGCATAGTATTTTATTACCTTTTGAAACATCATCTAAATGTATTCGCCACACTAACAACTTGTTCTATGCTCCAAACTTATACATAGCCTATGCATCTAATTTTATGTCTCATTCTGCATTTATATAACAGGAAATACTCTTCGATCTGTTTATTTTTTCAGCTAGATCTTTTAAATCAAAAATTTAAAAAGTTCAAAAACGTGTTTGACTTTCACACATACACACACATTTTGACAAACACTCGTCACTGGTTTTGTTCATTATATCACTCAAATCAAAATTAAAATCAAATAACTTTATTCAACATAGGAGTATTACACTCAAAATACTACCACTGTACTGAGAAGAACCGGAGAAAGAAACTCGCTGGCTTTTTTTTTTAAATAAACAGTTTGACATGAATATATTACAAATACAATATAAGCACTCTGATTGAAAGAGCCTGGAGCGATCAATTCATTACCAGAGTATGTTATCATATTAAATAATCATTAATATTAGAATAGCCTTTAACACAAACACTCCTTTACTACTTTTTTAAATTTAGCTTTTGATGCATTTTGAACGTTTTCTGGAACTTTGTTGTAGAAACATATGCATTGTCCCATAAAATATTTACTTATTCTACTTGTGGGTAGGATCAATAATTTATGTTGGTTCTTAGTATTTAAATCATGAACATTATTATGTCTTGAAAATTTGTCCTTATTTTTATGGACATACATAATATTTTCAAAAATGTATTGAGAAGCAACAGTCAATACCTTTATCTCTTTAAACAAGTTTCTTAACGATTCTTCCTTATTCTACAATATTGTATACTTATTCAAATATATTTAATTATATGAGAAAACAGTAATTGGCTTTAGTGTAGTAACATTTTATTTTATTTTGTAATTTCTATGGATGAATTGTTGTCATCATACCAATTTAATAAATTATTTTTAAATTGTTTCTTACAGGTTGCAGTTGCGCTTACTTAAACCTATGGTATGTGAAGCTGGACAAAGATTCACCTTACGTTTAGGAGACATGACATTAGGAACTGGTGTTATTACTAAAATAAACAATAATCTTAGCGAGGATGATAGGTTAAAGCTCTTAGAAGGTAAAAAGGCGCGCGAAAAGGCTGCGGCTAAGAAGTAAAATAATATTTAAGACATAAGTTAATTTTAGAATCATTTAGTAGTTTTCATTATTGTATGCATTAAAATAAATGTTTTAAAAACTATGCTGTATTTTTTCCCAAGTATCATAATGTGAACCAAAGTGCTGCTGATCTTAATAAATAAATAATATTAAATCAGTCAATGATCAGTCTTATAATTATTTTCCCAAGATATGTATAACATTCGTATTTTACTATAATACATAACAATTTTAAAACATTATATTTTATACGTTCTTTATATCTTTTAAGGACAATTCTGGATTTTTAAATTTTTCGTTTTAATTGCACACTACTAAAAAGTTGAGCAATTCCATCCTATCCATTATAGGATTTATGGTCATTAAAAATGTTACAGCAGGCTAAGGAGGGGAGTATCTAAACAAATATGACAACCAATTTGTAACCAAGTATTCAGATACAAAATTGCATTTAAACAAGTGTCATTTGATTTATGAGACATACTACCCAAGTATTCATTTTTGCTGTATGTTTTTAAGGATAAATAAAAGGTTACTTTATTTTCAAATTTTATTCAAAAAGTATCACCACAATTTCAGAGTGAAATATTTTCAGTCCTTGCTTAACAAAAGATATTTTATAACAGAAAGTCTACTAATTTACAGAAGTATTATTTTTGTAGTGAAAATAAACTGGAAACCTAATGACTTTAATGGACTTGATTAAGGTTATTGAATGAACTACAATAAATAATATGCCACAAAAAGAACTTCAATGGAGTAAATATTACAAAAATAGTAAATAGGTTACACAAAGCTTTATAGATATTTCATATTAGGCATTATAGTTATTTATTTAGATATCATAATACAATTTATACAATGCTACAAAACAGTAGGAAACATTTGTTTACATATCCACAAGCAAGTTTTGATTCACTTTTTGTCTTATATGTAAATGCTGCATTTGTTTTTACAATATCATTAATACTGAATACTAGCGACAAATACATACAACATGCAATGGTTTAAAGCAAATGGAAATCAAATGATGTAATTTTTTAATCAACATTGTGTACCTAATTTTATTTCTGGAAACTAATGGAATGAAATTTTAAATAACTTGAACATATACCAATATGAACTGTCATCACAATTTTAATAGGGCACTGGGTTTAATAAAGCTATTTACAAGTCTTCATCCTCTTCTGGTAAAGCAGTGTCTTGAGCTTCTTTAAGATCTTTTTCAATTTGGTTCTGCCATTGTGGGTCCATTGTGACTTCAGGTGGAACCAATGCAGGCATGGCCACAAATTCTAGGTTACCATCGCCAATCAATTTTCTGGCTAGCCAAAGGAATGGCTTTTCGAAATTGTAATTCGATTTTGCAGAGATGTCATAGTACTGAAATAAAATAATGTTTATTAACGGGCTGTAATGATTTTAATACAATGCTTGAACAAGGGATAAAATTTTACCTGAAGGTTCTTTTTTCTGTGGAAGACAATAGTTTTTGCTTTGACTTTTCTATCCTTTATATCTACTTTGTTACCACACAGAACGATTGGAATTCCTTCACAAACACGTACTAAATCTCGGTGCCAGTTGGGTACATTTTTATACGTAACACGTGAGGTGACATCAAACATAATGATAGCACATTGACCTTGAATGTAATAGCCATCTCGAAGTCCTCCAAATTTTTCTTGACCGGCTGTATCCCAAACATTAAATCTGATGGGACCACGATTTGTGTGGAAAACTAGGGGATGCACTTCAACACCTAATGTTGCGACATATCTTTTCTCGAACTCTCCAGTCAAGTGTCGTTTGACGAAAGTTGTTTTGCCGGTACCACCGTCGCCGACCAACACACATTTGAAAGTTGGCATATCATCAGCCATGGTTGTAAATTTTAAAATTACTATTCCTGAAAAGACAAAAATATAAAAAAAAACTAAATATTGGCCATAATACATCCTATGAGTTCATCATTTTAAAAAGCATATTTTTGAAGAGTTCAAGCTTGGTAAACAATACAAATTAAGAGAACAAACTCTTTAAAATAAAATAAAATCACATGTAAACTGCCGGTAACAAGTTAAAATTGTTTTAAGTTTTCACCGAATGGCGCTCAAGCACTCTCACAGGAATTTAGCTCTACGGTACCGAACTAAACTGAAAATTGCAGTTAAACTACACAAGTTAAATCAAAAATATATACCAATATTAAAAGTATATAGCACATAGTATTACATTAGAAGATACATGAATACAAATTACCAAGATTATCTAAGAAAATGGAGATTTAACTCTGTGCTCCCAAAAGTCGTTACGGCTCACAATGGCGTCACTTGACTAAGCGGAACAATACACTGACAGCGACAGGCGCAATGACAGCAAAAGTCATAAAAAAAACTTATTTAGATATCTAATTATGTATATATGAATGAATTTTAAAATATTGATAATGAAAAATTACGACTAAATGAAGAAAGTGGTTTTTGTAATACTTTATGGAACTTTTAGTTAAATATGAGATATTTAATGAATAACAAGGTATTAGTATGATATCCTTGCAGTATGATTTTACCGACAATGCCATGACGTCATATTCTTCCAGTGCTAATGTTACGCCATCTACAACATATTGAAATTCGACTCAAGTATTCTGACGGATAGAAGTTTCGTTCGTTCGTTGTATCGATTTTTTGAGTGAAGTGAACTAGTGTTCGTGTCCTTTAGTTTAGTGACGTTTGTTAGAAAAATATCTGTGAATGGGATTGTGTAATAAGATAAAACGTTTATTTGGTGTGTGATTTTCTATAAAGGATGACGAAGGACAGGTTAGCGGCGCTTCAAGCGGTAAGTAAATTTCTTTGCTTCTCCAAACTTAATATAACCAATAGGTTTTTGTGACCTCGAATTCACAAAGAAGTAGCCACTAAGAAGTAACCATGGACTACTGCAGTTAAAGACAACTTTCATAGTCTCAATATTTTAACCAGAGGCCATAATTTAATCTAATTTATATTGGATATCATTATTTGCTCGCCCCACCCGTGATCTCTTTACCAAATAATCACTTTAAAACTATTTAAAATTATAATGTGTCCTTATTGGTTTCCGATAATAATATATCTAAGTTTTCTTGTCTCTTTTTAATTTATTTTCAAATCTCTTAAGGGGTAGGTCCATATTGAAAAGTTGTTTTAAAATTTTGAGCCATGAATCATTAACAAGCTTCAACTGAGTAATCAAAATCTGAAACTATTAAATTATTCGAAAAGTTATCAGGTGCCAATGCCATAGGAAGATATTATGTTTATGGTAATAAACATAGTACCACTAAAAGTAAATATTTGGAGCATTGTTTCTTAATTATAATAGTTAAATTAAATAAAAAACATTATTATGATGAAGAAATGATTCATTAATTCATATGAATTATTCTTGTTTTTGTCATTATTATTGGATTTTTAGAGCTATATTCAATATTTATTTTTATAGTTAAAGAGAAAAATGGCATGAAATGTAACTTAAAGACCAATTATTACATTAGTCATGTGTCCATTTAGTTTTATAGATTATGTTTTATAAGTAAACCTTTAAAAGCAAATCATTTACTTGACTGATAACTTATAAACTAATAACAAATTTGTGAAATGGTTTTGTTGATGTATCTTTTTCCACAAATAAATAATAAAACAGAATAAGTGTTAATTATATAGTTGAAACTTAAAGGTTTTAAAACCCTTCCTCTACTTTGGCTACAAATTATATATGCCGCTCAAATATGTTTTTATATGTAGAATTTTATGTGGTCAAAGAATTATTTTTCAATGTATATTTTAACATTAAGAAATTTATTATTCATTTTGTTCTTAATATGTGTAATTTTGTTGGCCATGAAATTATAATTTTGTCAGTCGAAGTAAATTTATATATATCAGCATTATAAGTTATTAGTTAAAAATGTTTAAATTTGAAACATTCTTCTCTCCTTATCTAGATAATATTTGTCATGTTTAATATCATCTTTGATTTATCTTTATGTTATCAAATGACAATTTAAAATGATGTGATGATAATATTTTTTTATTATTTCATGCTTTAGATTTTTTGTGATCCATGTATATAAAAAAAATAAATAAAAAGAATGTGTGTATACACTCTAAGTTCAATATCTTTATTACAAAAATTGCTAAAGTTATATATCCTTTTCAACTACCTTATTAGGGCACAAAAATGAACATCCCAAAATTAATTTTGGGATGTTCATTTTTGGTTATCATGGTGTATTGTATATTATTAATTATTTACAATGTGTCAATGAAAGTTATACATTTAAAAAATATTTAATCAATAGAGAAACATGACCGAAACAAGAATAAAAAATTAAAAAATTGCAGGACTTAGATTTTGAGAAAAACAATCAAGTACCATCGTTTTTTTCCAATATTTTAAAAACATTAGGTCCCTGTTAAAATTATTGCCAAAAAATAATTTTATGCGCAACAAAATGGCAGCATAATAACTATTTGATTTCGCTTCATTACCAGTCAGTGGAACTGTGTTCCTATCACTGTTCACTTATCAGTTCACGGTGCCAGCATCCGGCGCGTGGCCTTCGTTACATTTGAGTCATATGAAACGTAAAGACTCATAATTACGTCATCGGCCCGGCTGCTTGCATTTGAGACGAATTATCAAGTGATTATCAGTTGTTGTCTTTGACAAGTAGAATATAATTAAAAAAACTACAAACCCCGACTGCGTTTTTGTGTAATTTTTTTATTTTGATATACCCAGTGTCACTCTCACAGTAAATACGAATCTAATGACACCTCTCAAGCTAAAATCCATCAAGCCGTGCAGGCTTCAAAGCGTGCCAAACAATTATACATACTGTCTGCGGTTAATAGCTTACGCATTTTCATATAAATGTTATAAATAAATATGTATGTGTCATGTAAAATAATACAGCCAAGAGATATTGGGTACAGTTATACCTTCCCACACAATGAAGTGGCGGTACTAAAGTAAAAAACGAGGTTCTTAATACGGTCGGAACTTGCGACAAATAAAAATTTAGACATTTGATTCGCCCGAAACTGGCTGGACCGACCGAAATCGGTAAATTATACTTGTTCGTTTACCAAAAAATGCGTAATGGTTTCGACAAATTATTAATTTTTTATTCAATGAATGTCCACTATATTGTTATATGATAATGAAACTATATAATGCACCTATAATATTATTTTCATTTTAGATTGTATGACTGATTGAACTACGTACTGGGCCACCTACCCGTTCCTCATCATTAAGATTAGCTTAGTCAAACTTCATTCATTTATTCCTCATAGATGCCTAAACATTCATTCTGAGCATGGCATTATCTATCTTTAAAATTATTCCAAATAGTCATTCAAAAAGTAGTGACATTACTTGCGTTATATTACTATTAATAGTTATGGCCGTTCGATTCCTGGTCTGGCTAAACATCACGAGAGACAAGTTATTATTTCTGTGGATGCCTGAATAATCAACTTAATATTCGGCCCAACTGATATCTCACGCAATAAGCTAGGGACGGCACGTTCAACGAAAACGGCCATTAACCGCGGCATATTGCGATAAATTTATTTGAATATTAAAGTTTGTATATACAAGACATAAACTAAGAATTGTCTTTGTGCTTTCCATAGAGACGGCATCCAATCGTTTTATATACTGATTACTACAGTAATAAGACTATTATGTTATGACTCAAGAATCACAGTAGATAATAGACAATGAATCATTAGATATTTTTACAACTAAAGCGTGAAGTGGCTAAAGTGTTATCCCAAGTGGTTGTAAGCTACGTAAGAAAATACACGACTTAAATATTAGTCCGTTTCTGGCCTTAACGATATTTATTAGATTTAGATGATATAGTCCAAGATATCTATGATTATTTCTTCTTTATTTTAGTGCTAGTCTGCGCTCAAAATGAAACTGAATTTAACAGATACATTGTCGAGCTATACGCCTGATATCCTTATGACGCTATAGTCTTGGCAACTATCTAATTTGCATTTTTTTTGTTCCAAAATGTATTTATAAAATATTTAAGATATACCTATTTAAATAATGTTCTGTATACAGAAAATACGTTGATTATGAATACACATAATCAACGTATTTTACACGCGTGTACATGCCATTTTAGTTTTACGGTTTTACGTTACATAATTATAAGAAAGTTGCATAAGACCGAAATTACTCAACGAGGCACATTCGTGGCGTGCCATAATCGCGAATTCTAATAAAACTGGGAGTAGACTTGATGTCTCGGAAAGTCTATAAAAGTGTGTTACGTAAAAGTGCCTACTTCATATCTCGCCAAGAGGATAGTCTTAGGGGGGGGGGGGGGGGTCTTCTTCTGAATAGCGTCGTACCCCCCTCCCCCCCAAACCTCAAATCAAATCGTATGCACTAATTCAGATCTTGCGTCGTTCCTATATTTAGCAGTTGGCTCGCCTTCTATGCCCTATGGCCTTTGAGGTCAATCAGATTTTTTTAATACCTATTTTTCACGTTTAAATAAATTTTAGGACATGGCTACAAAATTATCATAGATACATATAATCATAGATACATAAATCATGAGTGTAATATGAGTCTTAGTAGTATTTGTATTGCAACATAAATTCCTATACGAATCTTATTAAACATTAAATTCAGTATAGTAATTAATGGCCTAGACGAAATCGATCCTCATAATCTCAGTAATAAACATATACCGCACCGTTTAATATCATATGTGTATCCAATTTGGAACTTAAACATTAATTTATCGTGCATAGTGAAAGGCTTTGTGTTATACAAAACTAATTGTCCCGTGACGTTATTCAATATGGTGGACTTAGTATAAATTCCATCAAATTGGATTAGATTATGTTAATTAACGATTCCGAGTATAAGGAATACGTAAAACTGAATCTAGTACATCGTTGCGTTGGATACGCCGCGCTTATTTATATGAGATAATAAAAATAGTTAACATACATTCGCAGGCAGACTGCCAACCGCGAAGGCTGCATGGTCCTTAATAGCCAACTCTACTTTAAAATTCATGCCCTGGAATGGTTGGCTCGCACGTTAAAAATTGGAGTCGCCTGCATATATTTAACGCCGTGCGTACAAATCCTCGCGATGATTTCATTGAAGTGGACGACTGAGTAATGCGCGTGTCATTGGCGCACTCGGCGTGAAAACAACAACGTATCATGCTAATCCATTGAAGCGGTACGTGTGAAATTGTTGCTGAATAGAAAATAACCTCTCACGACCGTCTTATAGTTCCAGTCGGGGCTATCAGAGATTGTAGCAGATTGACTCCGATAAAATCACTATCATTATCACTACATACTATAGAACAACGTCGTCCTGCTGTCTGTCTGTCCCTATATATGGTTAGATCTTTAAAACTTCCCAACGGAATTTGATGCGTTTTTCTTGAATAGATAGTGATTCAAGACGAAGGTTTATATGTATGATTCATGCATAATATAGTAGAGAAACACTGATAATTTTAGAGGTTTCTAATGCGATGTCTAAAATAAACATTCAGCATTGCACCCGTACGAAGCCGAGGCGGGTCGCTAGTCTACTAATAAAATAGTCGCTCTCATCCTGCCCTTGCTAGTTATGTAAGTAGCAGCTTCTGGAACGGTCCGCCTTACCTGAGGAAGTTCCACAGCCTGACACAAAACCAACCTGAAGTAGAAGTATTATTCAGTTGAGGGCCACCCTTTTGGTTGGCGAAGCAGTTAAACCCGCGAATTTGCTTGATTTTCATGTCTAGCAATCGTCAC